CAAATTAAGAGGTTTGTTATGCAAATGAGTTATTAAAAGTGCTCTCGCTTTCAATGCTGTTTCTTCATGTTTGATGAAGAATTATGCGTTTTTCACAGCCATTAGATGGGACTTTATGTATTTTCGTTCGTAATTCTAACGGAGTATAAGAAACGTGTTTCTTCTCCAAGTTAATAAACAGGCGGCAGGTAGATGGTCTTTCATCACATCCTTGTTTTGAAGAGTTAGAATGACATCGTGGGCGTCAATTGCAATGTTTTAGGAACATAGAAAATTCACGACAATGTCCAGAGAGCACAAAAGAAACACAACTCTGTGAGATCTTACCTGCAAACTGTAGACTCCAAAAAAAAATCATTAACTTCAAACATAACTGTTGTTTTAGTGACATGTGTTGTTGTTATTGGAGTCATTTTATCAATTATGTCAAGCTCTTTTTCAGTCGAGTGAATAGTTTTCTTGACATTTATGAGTGGAAACCGTTCAGATCAAAGCAGAATCACGGGTGAATGTGACCCCACCAAACATTTTTCTCTACCTGTCTTTTTTATTCCTTTCAATCTATGATCATGCACAGACTTGAAATGATCAGCCACCGTTTTGTTAATGGTGAAAGGAAAGATGGATTTGGCTGAGGTGTTTTACGACTTTGTCACCTCCCAATCCAGATAACTTAGTGAGGTTTTTGAGAAGCTACGTTCGTGAAACACAGTTGAATGTATGGGAATATGTAACGATAAGAAGAATTGCAGCCTCCCAAATTAATAATCATATAGTCCAAATAAGGTGGGATCGAGGATGTATACACGCTACCGAGACATGTCAATGGCACGCTTCGTTCAAGCGTGGATTTTTGTGTTGTTTTGTTTTGTGTTTTAGAGTTTAGAGTGTGGGAAGTGACCTCAAGGGTATTATTTCTCCTCAAGCAATTGTTTTATCTTAACTTCCGCAGATCATTAACTTTTTAGTAGCTTGACATTGATTTTATCTCTATCAGGTGTACGCATTGTAAAGAACTGAGTCCCGAGATTGATGCAGCCGCTGACCAACTCGCCTCAAAGAATATGTATGTGTTTGCAAAGGTGAGTTCACCGTGCTTAGTACGTATGGGGAGGGGAGGGGGTTGTGTGCGATGTGAAATGTTGCTGCTTAAGGCGAAAATGCGGCTGATGCATTCTAGCTTGGCACTAAATAGTTTGCCAGTTAACTTATATTTAGCTATCTATTCATTGTTTCATGCTTAAGTATATTTATTTTATTCATTTTCTTATTTATTCTCTTGAAAGGTGGACTGTGTCAACGACGGCAAACAGTTGTGTCAGCGGTTTAACATACAGGGTTATCCCACAATTAAGTTGTTCAAGTATGGTCAATACGTTGGAGATTATGTTGGACAGCGAGACAGAGGTTAGTGAGTGAAGAGAGTAGTTACTATTCACTGCGTCGATGAAGGCTAAGAGGAAACTTCTATGATCGACATTGTGACAGTGGAAATCGTGAACATATCATAAGTAATAAACCTTTGCAATATATTTTACTCTGCGCAGGCTCATTGATGCAGTATGTGGATTCGGTGGCCTCAACGTTCTCGCAACGTGCACCGCTGGTCAACAGTTTGGCTACACCTTTGGCTCAGTCAATTAACTACAGGCCTCACGCTCAATTATTAGCTTCGCACCATGCTCCTGCAATTCAGGCAGCAGCCGCAGCCGCTGCGCCGACTTTCGCCAATCAAGCAAACATGCACGCGAAGAACCCATCTCTTATGAACTCGTTTTACGGTGCGTCAGCGCATGCGCATCATCCAGCTAACCTGGCCGCTTTTCTGGGCAAGCAACAAGCGAGCCCAGACTCTTTGCAGTCGAAATTTGGTAGTTTGTCGTCACTCGACATTTATAGAGCTAAACTTAAAATGATCGCAGCCTACAAGAACTATCAGCGTCGCCTTAAAGAGTACAGAATGAAACTGACGGCAAGTAAAGCAAACGTGAATCCCAATCCGCAAGCTTTTCCGGGCGCGGTTACTCATCCGCCTCGTCCCGGTGTAAATGCATTCGCTCAGCCCCAGCCTTATCGCGGGTATTATCGACCAGAGGCCCTAGCAGCCCAGAATGTGCAGATAAACCGTGCGTATCCCCAAGCTGGATACGGTGTGAATACCATGGGTTATCCCAACCAGTTTGGTAGTCCTTACGGATATCAAGCTATGGCCAGTAGTCCGTATTACAGAAGTAAAATGGGTCACGGGAAAGAGCAGCATCTTGGGAAGCAAAGGAGACCTGCACCGCGCCCTGCTGCTGTCAGAAAACCTGCCTACAACCGTCGACCTGGTACAGCTCGAGTCAACAGCCAGGCAGCTTATTATAACAATCAACAACACCAGCGACAGCAGCAATTTCAACAAGCTTTCCGGCAGCAATACAACCGACAGCCAAAACAACAGAGACAACAGTTCACACAGAAGTCACAACAGCAGTTTCAACAGGAGCCACAGCAAAACCAGCAGCAACAGCAATTTCAACAGGAGCCACAGCAAAACCAGCAGCAACAGCAATTTCAACATGAGCCCCAGCAACACCAGCAAAAACAACAACAACAGCTTCAACAAGAGCCACAACAACAATTTCAGCAAGAGCCACGAAAACAATTTCAGCAAGAGCCACAGAGAGACCAACAAACCTACAAGCAGCAGCAGGTACTTCCGCTCGGTATTAATTCTGAAACTCGGCTCTAATTTCAGGTGCCTCAAAATACATACCTCAATGAAAAAAATACATAGAATATAAGCTATAAGAAAAGGCCCTCGAATTCAAGCGACCGTTAAAGGCTTAGGAACACCGATGTTCCAAACGATTCAATCCAAAGATTGATTTCTTTGTAACTTTCCATGTCTGTTTGATTTGCAGCAGGCTCAACCTGAGGAGAAGTTTCCTTTATCTCTCCCTGAACAGCCAAGCAGTGCGCCATCAAAACCAGACACTTCAGCTCTGAAAGATCTGAAAGCAGACATTGAGAGCGCCATCCAGGATGCCCTTAGGAATGCTGTCTCAAAAAGTGCACAGAAGGCTAAGCCCAGTGAGGAGGTACACGTTGATGGTGAAAGGGCTAAGCCCCAGGTCCCTGCAGCGTCTCCTGAACAAGTGGGATCTGGTTCTGGGGTCCAGACACAAAATACACCTCACCAGGGTAGCACTGAGGATGCTATGACTGGCGAGACCCACAGTGGTAGTGGGTCGGGTTTAAAACCTGAATCCCGGTGAAGAGCTAAATTAAGAGGCGAGAGGCACCTAACGTTATTCCGAGTATGGAACAAGGATGTTTTTAAACCCAAAATTGCTCTCTGATTTTCAGTGAAGGATTCTCTTCACCCTGGATTAATTAGTGACATTCTTTTTTGGCGTATCCAGGTTCAATGTTCCTATCAAATCAATCTGCAGGTGGGAATCGTTTGAACGTGATAGTCTTCGATCCAGTGTCGTTATTTAGTCCATCGAAAAATCAATGAAATGCGTTAGAAAAGAAATATAATAATTTTATCAGTATGGAGACTTGTTGGCTCGACTGATAGCAATTCCTTGTCTTTTCATCACTGATTAAAACAATTTTCCTTCCTCTCTCTCATGTTGCGGAAGAAAACAGAAATAAACTATGAAGAATTAAAACGGCCACACTGCTAATTATAAATCTAATAAAATCATATTTTGTAAAAGTCGGAGTACAAATGGAAATAAAATAATTTTTTTATTAATCAGTGTTCTTTATATATGTATTGGAAAGTTATTTAGCATATGTTTTCCAAAGAGTTTCAATGTGAATGATTTCCAATCAACCCGCTACACCCAAACATCAGTATGCATATTCTCCATACTGTTCTCTATACACATCTTAAGAAGCTGACCAGGAGAAATTGTTCGGCAATCAAGAGCTACCCAAGTTGGTGATCATTTCCTTTATTACAGTTACCTTAATATTTGATTCAGGGGTTAACGAATAATCTTTCTAGGACTCGGCAACAGACACGAGGCGTTACGCTGCACACGCTGACGACATCACTGCGCTTCTTCAATAAATCCTCAGCTGATCACACGAAATTAAACCAGCTCAATGGGGAACTCAGTTTCGGATTGGTACAAAAATGGGAATTGTCTCCAAGATAAGGTCTCCGTGTATCCCAAGGAAAATTCGCGATATTGAGTTCTCCAGCTTGTGTAGCAAAGTACCGTTTAATATCGATATCGAAAAGCTTGAGTATTTTTATTTGGCAAACTCGAGAGGACGAAAACAGACAAAATCCTTGCAAACAAAGTCAAATAAGAGCAGTTTTAGATCAATCAGTTGATAGAACTTTTAATTATCCGCCCATTTCACGGGATGCACATGATATGACTGTGATTTTCCATGCAGCCTGGGTGACCTTTGCCCTCGTAGTACCGACATTTGACTCGTCCATTGCACTAACTTGTGTTTGAGTTTATTTTAACCCAAATAATTTTATGTGTATCACAGTGTGAGAAACCCACCCTCAACGACTGCTTTTTTCTTGACACTGAGTTGATTTTTACTATCACTAAGATAAACAAATTCTACATTACCTGAACAGGTCACTTGTTTGATAATCAAATCACCGACAGGTTGAAATTTTAATTCAACAGTTAAGCAAAACTACACACCTGTTGTAGGCAATCACCGTGAGAGAAACAATATACAGTAAACAGATATAAGACATACACGCAACGTGATAGTTAATAGAACAAGAACGTGAAGTAGAAAACATTTTTGGCCTGATTTTGATGGTAAATCAGTGAAAAATTCGCAAAACCAGATCTTTGGTGAAATAATACCGGTAATTTTGTGGGTGATACCACATTGATCCCATTACTTACACTTCGAATAACGTGATGCAATACAAAAACTACTCATTGATTGGCGGAGGCGACAACATTAACCAATCAGAGTGCTCGAATATGACATATGAAGGGTAGAATGTGGAGTGCCTTAAATAAATATTTTCGATTTTCTCGTAAATCGCACCCGAATTCCTCAAACAAGTGAACAATGATTGCGGCTATACTTTCCATAGCCTTGTCCCTTGTAGGGACAATTTTTGGCGCTCCAGCCGATCCAGTCTTCAAATTGACTGACAACGATTTTGACCATTTTTTGAAAGACAAAGAGACAATGTTGGTGGACTTTTATGCACCTTGGTAAGTTTTGATTTTTATTTTTTGGTTCGTGCTCACAACATAACTGAAAAATGAAGAAGTAGTAAACAAAGAATTTCATGGGCAAACTTTTAGAAAGACATAATCAGTTTCCCAAGTACACGGCTCAAACCTAGAGCGTCTATTTTAAGACAAACGGGTGATAAAGAATCAAGTTGTTTATAAGTTTACGGATGAGTTGTACGACAGGTAGGACATTTATATATGTCACAAAAGTTTTCGTCTGGCTTATGATTTATTTTTCCTCGATAAGAGTTAATCTTGCTTGTCATTGGTGTTTCTAATACATATTTTGACGAACTGTTTTAACCTTTTATTGCACTCAAAACATTTCCATTTTACTTCTTTAAAAGAAAATCGAATGAATTCCGAATTCTGTCAGTAACAAAGTCACTCCTTGACGCCGTGTTCTTCGCCACTACTAATAAGAAATTATTCTAACCAAATTAGGTGGTATCTTAAGTGATAACTCAGTCCCCTCCCGACCTTTAACGTTTCTTGTTCAAAAAGGGATAGTGCCACTAAAACAAGGAACCAGTAAAAACAAATGACAATGTAATCCACCCCTCCCCCTCAGGTGCAGCGACTGTGCCAGATTAAAGCCTGAGTTCGACAAAGCCGCAAATGATTTTGCTCGGAAGGGAAAATTTGTTTTCGCTAAGGTTTGTATTGTTACTTTACTTAGAGCTATAGAAATCTAGTGCAAGGCCCCTACAGCCATGCAGTGCAGAGATGAAGAAGGGCATGAGAGTGGGCGAGTACTCCTTCATCTTCATAGACAGCTTAGCTCTCCATAGAACTTAAAATTATAGCTTTCCCCCTCATCAAAAGCCTATTCAACACGATTTCTCAAGAGATATTGTGATACGATTACCATATTTGCCTGATACAAGATAGAACTCAGGCCTCCTAAAGAATCGATTACTGTTCTGAACAGATTGATTGCTTCGGCGAGGGAAGAAGCATCTGCGAAAACAGATTCAATGTACACAGCTGGCCTCAATTGAAAGTTTTCCGCCGAGGTCAATATGCGGGAGAATACAGCGGAAACCAAGACAAAGGTAGGTCTGCAAGGCGTGTTAATGGTGCCCGAGTGTCTTCGTTAGTCATGTTCTCTTAATTAGTCAGCGGTGATGCTAATCATTATATTTTAATCAAGATAGGTATATCGTACTTATAAAAGATATTTCAAAAGATCTACTTCACTCTTTGATTAAATTTTCCTTTTCTTTTCCAGCTTCTATTGAAAGATTTGTGAGCAGCCTTATTAAACAAAAAGTGCCAGATAATATTGGTCAGGACCAACCCCAGGAAAACCCGTCGGCAATCAAAGAGAACCCGTATGGCCCCTGGTACCAAAACGGATGGACTTATACGGCAGTGAGTCCTGGAAATGTCCCTTATCAGAACCCACCCGGCTGGAAAAGAGGATAAGGCTGAAAATATGCCCAAAAGAAATTAACACTTAACATAGACCCGCAGCAATTTATGAGAGCCTAATGATCAATGGCTACAGCAGTTCACTCATGGAAAAGAGGTCTAGTTTCCGTGCTAAACCATATTATTTCAACCATATTATACGCAGTCGCTGAACTTGTTAAAATGTTGCATTTTGAAGCGTGCTAGTAATGAGAAAATTATATGCTTTTTGTAAAAATTAATCGAGGGAAGATATTCCTTTCCTCTTAAGCCTGTTTATCTACTTTCGAACAATTTATTCCAACACTAGCATTACTTTAAAGTGAAAGTATTTCAAATGAATTTCTCTGGAATGAAAAATTTCAACTTGTCAATAAGTGTGCTAAGTTTGTTTTGTTTAATTAAACGCCAACTTAAGAGTTCTTTATCAGATTTGAAATGGCCCCTGATATTGAGGCATCAAGAACACTTTCTCTTAGTCGTTACAAAATGGACGTTCGAACGTGTAAAAATTAATTTTTTTCTTCTGTCTAAATCTGCCATAAATCTGCCATAAATAGAGCAGCAGAAAAACTAGTGGCAACGGAGCTGTAGAAAAATTTGGTGTTGATTTACTGAAAAGCAGACAATTTACAGAGTAGAGACTATTCTTGCAAGGAGTGAAAGCAACTAAAATAGACAAGAATCCAGATGAAGCAGATTCTAATCTCATTTCAGATCTGGAAGACATGTTAGGTTTCATAACTAATAAATTTGTTTCCATAAAGATCACATTCGACTGAACCAGAACAAATTTATCATTTTTAACGTGGAGCACTATACAACTTGAGTCAAACCAATTTGTAGGTCTTCCTGACACCCTAAGACCTAAAGTGCTTCGGTAAATCAGAGATGAATGTGAATCCAGGGATTGATGACCAGCGCATCTTTCACGGCGTTAGGGCGTACGGCCGCACACAGAGTTTTAACTTCAACAGACAATTAAGACAGGCAGAGATTTTGCGTTCAGCTGATGACAATAGGGAGGGGACTGAGTTATCACTTAAGACACAAGCTAATTTGGTTAGAATAATTTCTTATTAGTAGTAGATAATAGAGGATTATTATCGCCACGTTGGAATTTCCCGAGGACGGTGAAAATGGCGGGAAATATCACTGCCGAAATTGAGGCTTGTTTGATAACAAAAATTTACAGCTAAGAGCAAAAACTCAGAAAATTTAATATACTCTGTGCAATTTCAAGCCATCAGAAAACATAGCGCAAAATCTAAACGAACATTTTAAACACAATGTCTTAAGTGAAAAATTATGTTTAATCTGGTTTGAGCAAACAAGACTACAAAACAGCCCCATAACTAGTTGACTGGAAGTTCTACCTCCAATTCAAATAGGACGATTTTTATAAAAGTTATATTTTCAATGCACAATATTTCGACGTACCAGGAAAACGTGTAGTATTCCTGTAACATAGCCTCTCTAGTTCTAAATTTATCTTATTCTAAGCAAATTTAATTTATTTGGGTTCTTAGTAAAAGACGAGAAATGAAGAAAAAACCTGTTGACGGAATCACAAATATGCATTCTTTCAATGCAAAAATAGAAAACCAACAAACGAAAAAAGGTAGTCTGTAAAAGCTGGTTGTGTCCGCAAGTCCAGTCTGAGATGGAAAAGTAAAACAGAACGATGAAAAATTAATTAGATAATGATAAGAGGAATAAGAAATATGATGAGTGCAATTCCCAAACCAAACTTTGAAGCGAGACTGTGAAAAATACTTTTTAGGTTTAATAGTTACATGTAAAGAGGTTCGGTTTTCCCCCTCTCGGCATTCGCTTTTCAGTTTTTCATACCACAGAAAAGCAGTTTCTAGTTTTTCCTACTCACTTGTCTAAATAAATGCTAACCACTATTTCATGCCCGTTTAGATCATAGCCCTCGATGCATTTTCGAATTTGAACCATTTTTATGCCGGTTTTCCGTTTCCTGTTAGACGAGGAAGCCTCTCTAAATATAAGTTGGTGGTAATTGAGCAACCGATTTATATTTATTAACGTCCCGAGAAAAAATTCTAGAACAATTGTTTCAGTACTGGCCTTACCAAGTTTCATTAGACATCCAAGATCGTCACTCTAATGGCGACAATCTGACCATCACTACACCACTCGGGTTTACAATGGCATGGAAGCTTCCCATGAATGTCCCAAGTTCCTTGTGTTCAAACAGGTCACGTGCCTTAGCTTTCTCAGCACTTAAACCAACCTGAAGGAAAAAAAAAACACAATTACTTCAGTCTATTAAATAATATGTTTTTATCTTTGATAACCTTCAACTTTTTGGGGACATTTTGTAAAGCAACATCATTAATACAATTACTCTATGTTACTAACCAATTTAAAACTTGCTTCCATAGTTTCAGGGGTAGACTCTGAGTGTGAAAATAACACCACAGCAACTGATCCATCAGACAAGGGCCGTGCCCAGATCTCTTGATTTCCATCCTGAAATAGCAAACAATAACATGGCATCTAAACCCAGTATGCATAATCTCCATACAGTCCTCAATACATTTCCTAGGGAGCTGACAAAGAGAATTTGTTTAACAATCAAGAGCTTCTTTAGTTGACGATAATTCCATATAGTCTTGTGACTTTAATGTATGATTCAGGGGTGATATTATAAAGAGAAATTAGAGGCTAGTCTCTCTTAAGGGTTAACGAAAAACATACAATAAAGCATTCAATGAGCTCAAATTCATAAGATTGTTTGAGAGAATGATCAGCATGAAATCATACCAGCATGTCAGCAACTCATAACTAATACCCTAAAGAGCTGAAGATATGAATTCCTTACCAGCAGAACTCTCCTTCCCATTCTCCCCAGTTTGTCCTGATTGACAGCTATCACATCACTGAAAAATAAACAAGAATGGGTTTCTTCAAGTAACTGTTTGACTGACTGATTGATGGCTGGCCCTGTTTTGAGGTTGGCAGATACATTTAACCATTAAACTAGTACCTCTCAAGAAAACATTTTCCAAATTTTAGCAGTTTTAGCTGCAATTTTATTAACTGATCAGAAAAACTCTTAGCTCCCAAATTATACATAAATTATTCTGAATACAGAGTTAATTAAGAAGTCTCCAATTTACCCATTTTGAAGGATTTCTTTTGCCCATGGTGCAATGTTACGAAGATCAGTGGACATAATTAGGGGCTGAAAAAAGTCAAATTACATTGATTCAGTTCACAACCACAGTTGATAGCCTTGAGATCATCTGATTTTAAACTATGAATACAGTAGAAACCAATTAACTCAAACTCCCTGCTAACTCCAACAAAATCTGATGGATTTGAGACCATTTTTGAATCATTTACTGAAGCTAACTTGAACTTAGTTGACTCAAACTCCCTCTTAACTCAGACTAATTTTAATTTTCCCTAGTTCCAATTTACCATGATAACTCAAACTTAAGTAAAAAGGTCATTAAAATGTCTGAACATGGCTGGTTGACACATCCAGTATCTAGATTACATTCAACTTGACTTCCCAGACTAAACAGTCATATCAAAAAGTTCATTTAAAACAAACTGAATGTGCCAAAATGACTATTGATTGTAAAAGAATGGTAAAACCATGATTCCTTATTAATCATTAACAGGATAATTCAAATTCAAATTTCATCCTGATTAACTAGAGCCCCAGTGTAACTTGCCTTATTTTTCATTTCCCTTAGGAGTTTGAGTTAGTGTGGTTCTATTGTATCTGTGATGTATTTGTGACAAAGCTAATAATAAACTTTAATAATAATTAATAAAACTTTAATTAACTTTAATATATTTTAGTGACAAAGCATCATATACAATATTTCAACTTCTTCCCTTACTTATTCTGTCCTTGTGTAAGAGCTATCAAAATCACTGTTTGCCTAATTGTTCAAGTAAAATACACTATTCATCTATATAAAAGATACTTACAGATGCCATAACAGACCACAGAGCAAACTGTGCCTTTGACTGTTCAAAACTTAAACTGAAATCACCAATAATGAGCTGAAATAGAACAACATACATTCAAATAAATTCAGATTTTCAATAATCCTGATATGAATCTAAAATCAATAACAGGATCAATTTACAAATCAAGCTCAACTACACCTGGGATAGGCATAAGCATAACCTTGAACACTCTGCATCCAGAGACATTTTTTTTTTATCTCAATAGCTTTTAGCTACTCCTCATACACCAGAAGATGAGTGAGATATCAGGATTAACTGTCCCCCTAATGGCTGTGAGGAATCAGAAACTCCTTAAAATCATTTTTTTCCTTTTTTTTTTCTTTTTTTCAGTGTAGCTGTGGTAATTAAATCATTTTATTTTCTTCACCATATCAGGGTCATTCCAGTTTCCTGGTCCTGCAACTGGAATCATTTCATCTTGATGGTCACCATACCACTTAACAATTGATGTAACACTTTGCCAAGAATCCTGTAGAAAGATAATTAGGAACAAGATTAACATAAGTGTATTAGTATGTGAACTATTTCAGTTTATATGCTTTGTTTATAAACACAGTACCTGTATGTCATCGTAGTTCCTCCACAAATTACAGTTTTCAGCTATCCATGTGTAGTTAGGCTGTAAAATTAACACTGCATGTCATTTAATAGTCACATATAGCTTACATTACCAGTCTATTACTTTTAATTATAATTTATATGTGTACACTTTCTATCAAATTGAGCAAGACATAATAATTTATATTTTTCATAAAGGCTCTGTAGTACTGAAAAGTAACAACAAGATCATAAATGTTCATCTCACGCAACTTCCTCCTCAGCATGGAAGTCAACATTGTGCACCAAGAAAAATATCATAACAATGAATTCTATCCTCACTGTTTTCTTTGCACTTTGATAGGCAGGCCAGCTGCAGGAAAATACTATTGGTCTGCCTGTGTTGTTAAGGGCTTTAGTAACCATTGGGTAACCCGTATCCATTTTGTCAGGGTCACTGTAGCAACCATCCAGCTTTAAGTAATCAACTCCCCAGCCTGCAAATGTCTGAAAAGGAATCACTGAGTAAATCAAAGGGAATATAGCTCACATAAAGGCGATTACAAATTAATCTATAAAAATGCATTTTGAAAAAGATATACAGAGCCCTTAAGGGTCAAAAATATTCTACACAGCACTTTAACCCTTTACACTCTAATATCAGTATGCATATTCTCCATACTGTTCTCTACACACTTCCAAATGTGCTGGCAAGGAGAACTTGTTTAACAATCAGTTGCTTCTTTAGTTAGTGATCATTTGCTTTATTCTCATAACTTGAGTGTTTGATGCAAGGATGATGTTGTGGAGAGAAATTTGGATGCTAGTCACTCTTAAGGGTTAAAGGATAAAGAAAAAAATATAGATGCAATGGTCACTTGAAGTGTCAACAGACAAAAGTAAGGTCACCTCTCACTAGTACTGTTCTGAAGCTAAAATAACTTATTCGTAGCAACAAACAACCCAACGGTTAACTTACATCCATGTCTTGTTGAATGTGATCAATGGTTCCTGGATATCCTGCACAAGTTTTTGTTCCATAATCTGAAGAATTGTAAGAAAAAAAATGTTTTGACCAATTGTGAAGTTTGTGAAGTGAATAAGGAACAAATTATATATAATATCTTTACAGATGGTCTTCAATTCTTTAACTCCCTGAAGTGATCAACATGTTACTTTCTCCCAATAATATCCATACATTACCCAACAAACAAGTAATGAGAAGACTCAAACTTATCAGGCGATAGTTGTTATCTTGATCTAACACCAAATTCTTGTACCTGGCATTGAAGTGTGTTCAAAGCAGCTAGAGAGAGGGGAGGGAAGGGGGGGTTAACAATCAGATCTTGGGAGTTAAAATGTAAATTGCTACCTGCATATATTCCCAGCTTTAATCCTTTAGAATGAATCTAAAATTAAAATACAGACAATTTTAGAGAAAAGTTGGTCTGTCTCTTTTAAAACTAAGAGAAAAACACAACAAGAAAGCAACAATCCCACCAAATTTGAATTTTTAACAACCTTAAAAGCACTATAACAAACTTACAAAGTCAGCAAGAGCTTTCATTCCACTTGGAAATCTGCTAGGATCAGGTTGAAGCTGGCCATCAGCCGTTCGGTTGTGAGACATCCAACAATCCTACAAATCAAAGAGACTTTCATGAAGTGTCAACAAATTTTGACTTAATCCTTCTAATGTCATCACTGATAAACCACCTAAGTGCTAAACATGACAGAAAACCAGAAAGTAAAGCAATGTGAATGTAAAATCATGTTTGTTAAAGATATGTTTGTGAATTGAAATCTCTCCACAGCAAGATCAGAACTCTTTACCTTCTAATCATTCTGAGTTACCTGTAACTGCCTATCTGGTAATAAATCTATACAACACTTATTAAATTCATGGAGAACACTTCCTCCCAATACATTAGAACCAACAAAATAATTGGTCCAAATAGTCTTTCCTCACAATCAGATCTCTTTAATTTTCCAAGTAAACCAAGCAACAAATGTTGATAAATTTAAGCCAAAAATTATCAAACCTTACATCAATAGATACATATTTATAGCCAACATCCTTAAAACCATCCTCAGCCATGCGAGTTGCCATATCCATGAATAATTTTTCACTGAAAAACAAACACTGAAAACACTGAAAACAGTAAAAGCAACAAAAAAATTTTAAACCATACCAAACTTCTCCATATTATAGATCAGCAAGGGTTTCAGATAAAAAATACTGCTGGTTAACCCCCACCAATAAGACTTTCCATTAATTGCCATCTGTTTAGCAGCTGCCATCAGACTCTCATGATTGAGTTTTGCCCTATAGCACAGCTGCCTATTGCATTATCAGTAGCCATTTACCGAAAAATTTATGGACACCCCACTCAAAGGTAGTCAAACTAGATAAAACTAAAGGAAAAAAACTAACCCATCCTTTGTTTTTAAGGACTGTTAATAAATGTAAACCAACAAATCAAGCAGTTACCCAATGCAGTTGTCTGGGTCATTTTTGCAGTCTGTGTTACAACGGAATCTCTCCCAATCCATCCATCCCACTATAAAAGGATTAAGAAATTCAGCTTTATTAATAGAAAGGGTGTGGGCCAATAGAATGCATGTGATCCCTTCTCTGCCAGGTAAAAGTGATCATTTATATCTATAGCAATGGTCACAAACAAACTTATAAGCCCCCCTAGGGGTAGGACCTCTCATGGGAAAATCCTGTATACATCCCTGATAAATCTCTAATGCCCTCTATATGGTGGAAAACGTCACCTTGTCCCCAGAAAACTCCGGGAGAATTTATTAATTATTTTGAGCTTCATCTTGTCTGTCAACACCTGTTCAGGTAAACACCTCTCCTGCAAAGAGTGACTCTTCTTTGACCGAGTTCCCTGCTACTGAAATTTAGCCATTTTGCCGAACACTTACCTAATCTTTGAAGCAAACAACTTCATGTAAATGTGGAAAAGATTTCCGTACAACCCCATACTATTTTTGAACAAAGCCGTTGTCCAAAAGGCAATCTGCTCAATAAAGTATAGGGCTTTTCGGAAATCTTGCCAGCTTTCAGTTGACTTCTAAATGAAGTTCAACAACTTAATTTGGTAACAAAACAACAAAGAACTTTAGGGGAAAGAAATCAGCTAGCCTCACGGTGCGATAGAAGAAGACGAGAGATTTTAGTCGAGGACACTTAACTAGCTGACTACAAGTCAGTGATCAGCTGAGTATCATGTGATATAGAACCAAAACTGATCTGTAAGACTCTGCCGAAAGTAGCCAAAAATTATCACATCAGCAACTCACTTGGTGGCGTTAAGGCTAGGCCATTGTTAAGAGACTCTGCAAAGAAGTTTTCCTGCCATGATGCCATATAAAAAATCATAGAGAGCAAGCAAGACAATCTGGGCGCCATTTTGCTCCTCTCACATCGGAAGGTCACGCAATCAGATTAACGCAATACTGGTCATCAGGCCTGACTGGTCATGTAACAGCAACTATGGGTGACCAAATAAATTCAGCCGATGTAACATATTTTCAATGAATAAATCCTTCTCAGCTAAAAAAAAAAAAGTTAGAACACGGAAGATGCCGAGTGAAACCTTTTTTCCACTTTCGGTATATATATGACTAGAGGCAGATCGTTTTCGCGTGACGTCGCTGAGAGATGGGGGCATTGGATTTTTGGTTTTGCGGTTTTGGCCATTTTTAGATCGGTTTTTCGGTTTTTGTACCCAAAAACTTCGGTTTTTCGGTTTTGTTGTTCATTGCGGTTGGCGGATTTTCCGTTTTTTAACATTTGGTTTTCGGTTTCCGCGAAAAATACTGACGGGTTTTCAGATTTGATATCCGATACGGTTTCCGGTTTTTCCCTATTTGACCTATTTGGGTTCC